GGACCAGTCACCTGAGGTGAAGAAGGGTCATCATCAAGACCTGTGAGACAGGTAATGAGTTGTATTCTAAAAATTCTAAAAATGCATCCTGACCTCCTCAGTCAAGGTGTTTCATTTCATTTTATCCCTTCTTTCCTGGGCAAAAATCAGCAGAGACCTGCTACCCCGCCGTGAAACACGGTCTTCCCTGAGAAGGGGAAGTGTGGGATGGAGAAGGTGGTGCCAGGAATTCCGAGCTCCTGAGAGAGTGAGTAGGTGATTCAGCCTTTGGCAGGTTCACAGAGGAAGCTAAGAAAAGGGAAAAAGTATGGAAAGAAGCCTGCAGCTGTTGAGGAGCAGCTGCTGAGCAGGGGAAGAAGCTTATTTTGGGGTCACAGTAGAATAAACTACCAAGGAGGGCCAGAGAGGAGGAACGTACAGATTTTAATGGTAATTTCCTATATGTGCTATGTCCGCTGGAGAGGAACACAGAACACGTCTTCTTCCTCCAATGCCAATTAATACCTTTTTGCCCAACACTGCAAACTAAAGGTGAAATGATAATATTTTTGCATCCCAAAAGTGGGAATGAAAGGAAAGGACTGTAAGCGAAGGGTGGGGAAAACAAGAAATTGGTAGAGATGATATGATATAAGATCAGGACAACGTATTAGGGTCCAAATTAGAAGCATTCTAGCAAAAGACTAGGATAACAACAACAAGACTAGGAAAAACAAACTGGCTAAACTTCAGTTTACTAGGCTGGATATTATATTAAAATATCTCCAACTACTAATCCAGACACTGAAGCATCCCCTGTGGCTTTTTTTTTTTTTTTAATTTTTACAATAAATCCAAAAGAGAGCAATCACAACATCATTAACAAATTTTCCTTATGCCATAAGATTACTGCTATTTTCGGTGAGATTGCTGAAACCAGGGACAGCGCTGTTGTCACATTTTTGAAGACGACTGTTCTCATCTCTTCTGGTAGGGACAATGCATTTGGATAAAATGCAGGAAAGCTGCCTGCTGACTTTTGTTTATTCCTTTCCTAAGACCTTCAGTGTTTGTTTCTTCGTAAACACATAAGAAAGCTTTCTTTAGGAAAACTGGCGCAGCATAAAATCTTACATAAAACAAATATTACATTGGGACATTGCAGCTGTCAAAGAGTGCTGTGTGATGAGACAGGAGTCCAGAATGAGAATCCACCTAGCTTTATACAGTGTTGTTTTATACATGAAGCCATCTTGTAAGTTAGATGTGTCCATTAATTACGGTCTCACATACAGTGTAGTAGTAATGAGGGAATATGATTAAAAGAAATAGAAAAGGAAAGAGCTTTATATACCACTCTGATAAGCCTTTATCATACGGAAATGATCAGAATATAAATCTTTGTCATCTGTCACAATTTGCTGCTGCTGCTTTAATTAAAATAGCACCAAGAATAGGTACGGTGAGCCTGGCTAGATTGGCTCCGTGCTCTTAATGACTGTCAGATGCTAAGGCAAGGGGTACAAAGAGGCCAGGACTGAGGGAAGGTCCTGAGGGAGATGGTGCCAGATGGCCAGGCTTATTTTATTAGCTTAGATCTCCATTAGGGCTTCTCTTTTCTTTATTTCTCCAAAGGATGAGTTAGTTTAATGGGAATCATTTCACAGCCACAGCTTGACATATTTAACTCTTAGATCCCTGCAGTGCTGCAACAAGGCACGTGTGTCAGTCGTGTGGCCGTCCCCTGCGACCGGCGCTGCGAGGCCTCAGCTCGAGGCCAAATGCTGAAAATACATGGCCGGCCGGTGGGCCACCCGCCCCCGGCGATTTTGTTGACTCCCACTTTGCGTTCGCACCCTGACTCATAGCGTGCCTGCGCAGCCCGCAACTGTCTTAAACCAGTTCCCAGCTGGAGATCGTTGTAGCAGTATGGCTCTGAAAGACCCATTTGGGCTGATTTCTCTCCCATTTGTGCCTGGCGTACTGAGGAACGGTGCGGTAGGTGCCGACCAGGCTGCCAGGCTCTCGTGCAGCAGGTAGCACCGAACACGTTTTGAGATTGGTGCCGTTCATCTACAAAACCTTCGTGTTAGCAGTGAGTGGCCTCGCTCTCCTTCCAGCTCTCAGGGGTCTGGACATCCAGGGAGCGGAGGGGACTACTGGGAAAATGGAGTATTAAAAAAGGAGTTTTTTCTCTGTCGCCCTAGCCCCTCAGTTGCGTGCACTCCCTTACTAACGTATCTTCTGCCGCCCAGTGGCTGCTGCTCAAAACTGCTCGGCACCCGGGACAGTTTAGATACCGTTTAGATGTAGGGATTTAGATGGCTAAAAAAGCAGCTTCTGAAAAATCTGTTTTGCACAGCGTGGAGCAAACTTGTAAGGATTTGGTATTACGAACTTTTTTCTTAAATTTCGTTTCTACCCTTTCTATGTCCGTGGCAATAAAAAAGCTGTGCTTTATCAAGTGTTCTGCCTTATCAGCCGTTCCCTGGAGTAGTGTTAATAGCAAAATGAGGCTGTGTTCTCTGCTCGAATGAGAAAAAAGCTAACTTGTGAAGAATTTTTGGTTCCTGAAACCTCTATTAAAAAAAAAATTCTGTTAATGAGTTCACTTTATGCAAGTTTATTTAGAAAACTGTATTGCATTTATGTTGTTCTTGCATTGCAGTAGATGCTGGCTGGCCTAGCTTTGGTGACAGCAGCATATCTGGAACAAATGGCAAGCTGCATTTCTAAGTACCGTGAGTTTAGTAACACATGCAGAAACCTAAGGGAGTTCACCCCCAAACCGATGGTACCTTCTTTGACCAGACAAACACAAACAGCAGCTCAGCATATGTGCCTAACCTAGGAGAAAATCTTGCACTGTAATAGAGGGTATAATGTGTACAATTTTAAAGATGCTGAATGAATAATTAGTCGTGAATGTCTGTATCAAGAATTTTCAAGTTTTCTCATCTTGGGATTTTTAGTTGTTGGGTTTTTTTTTTTTTTCCCAAACTGCATGATTCTGTAGTTGTTTGCTGTCCCGTCTCCAACAGCTTTGAGTGTAGAAAAATTGCATTTTGTCAGCTGAAGGCTGACAATAAAATACCTTTTGATGGCAAAGTAATTTATCCTATTGTGGCGATTGGGCCTGCGGAGTTCAGTTCTGTGATGGTGACTTGTGCTTTTCTTGAGAGGAGGAGGAGGAGGAGGATGAAGAGAGGCAGGGGGGCCTGGTAGCGATCAGTGAGGTTTGGGTGGGTCTGTGGGAGGGAGCACATCTCTTTTGGAGGTACAGCCCTCAACTGCCTTCACGTGAGTTAACGTGAATGAGAAGCATGAATTTGACAAGACTCCCAAATTTTATGTGCTTCTTGCAAAGTTCATCCAGACTTTTGGATCCAAACTTGGTTTCATTTTAAATCTTCTGAAAGTTCCCAGCTTTCATCACTAGACCGAAACCAGGCAAACAGTCTGCCTTTCCCTAGCACTACAAAATTGCCCAGATATTTTCCAGTCGTTTTGTTGCAATAATTTTACAAATGTTTTTTTTATCCTGCCTTTACCCACTGCCTTTAGTTCTCTGTTCTCACTGCTTCTATTTTAGTTTTTTCCCTTTGGTGCATTTTTTCTTAATCTTGAATATCGTATTAGCACTAGACAGAATGCACTCGCGAGTGAGAGAGAGTAAAGTAGACCATAAAAATAATATGATAGAAAAAATTACAAGGAAATGTACTGAATGATTTATTTAGTCATGTGAACACATTACACCAGTAATTTAATTCCTGGTACCTTCTCAAGCAGCTTTCAAACCTCCTCTGCTTTTTTTGCCTTTTTTTTTTTTTTTTTTAAACTACTTTGGGTTTTGAATCGAGGTGGTGGTTTCCGCTGCTCAAACAGTGAAAGTGGACGGGGCTGATGGTGAATCATCATGACAGTTTACTATCAGCAGGGATTTTGGCCAGAGTATTTTAATCAGTAACAGCATCCCAATGGCACTGGCCCACTTAGACCTGCAGATAAAAAAAGTATACTGGTGCTTTGCTTTATCTATACTGAAGTTGCAACAGCTTAAATTAAAGCTTCTGTTAAGAGTAATAAATGAATCGATTTCGAAGCTGTGCGGTTAGACTGCAGGCAAGCGTGCTAGAGCTAGCGCGGGTTTCTCTGCCTGGCGCACGGGATGATACACTTGGCGGAGGTGGGGGGTAAAGCTCAGAGCTACCTTTAGCCACTTAGTTTCAAAGCCTGTGCTTCAGCCCAAGGAGTGCAGCCCCCTACCCCACCCTCACCACAAAACAGTCCAGGGGAAAGCGGTAGGTGCCTCCAGAGGACCTTTGAGAGAAGGCATGTTAAACAGTAATTAGATACGCTTACTCACCCAACGCAGCCACTTAGATCTCTGTGGAGGGAGCCTAGGGAGCCCGTGTTACATAGGCAAATGAAGCGATGTGGGTATTTCTGCGACTGTGAAATGAAAGTTGGTGAAAAATTTGTTTGCTAAGAGCCAATCTTGGTTTTGCACATCGGTAGCGAAATTCTTAAAGATGTAGCTTAGACCAGACTTTCCCTTAGGGGAGAGGGAAACCAAACAAAACCAAAGCAAGTGCAGATTCAGAAACACTATTAAATGATTAGTTCTCTCACCAAGAATCAACAAAGGTGTGATAACTGGGATTCTGCTCTCAGTCCTTTATCCTGCATTATTGCAGGGGCGTCATTATTGATTGCATTAGATATTAGAGTATCAGATAGTTTGCAGTCAGCTCAGCAAATATATAAGCTCCAAATTCTGAGGAGTTTGGGTCAATTCAAAATTTGTTGCTTGAAACCATCATTAATTATGTTTGCAAAAGCAATTTCAGATAGCAAAATAAACATGCACTGTTGTGGAAGTGATAACTCAGGAGGTCCTTTTCTTGGGTTGAATATTTCGGAGGCACCAGTAATTGCCTAATAACTGGTACTGTTTGGCATTTATTATGTGGGACAGAATCATAAGATATTCTAATATCTGACTTCTTTCCTTTCAGGGTGATTTTCTGTATAGTGTCTCCGTTTTAAGTGGAATCCTTTGTACTATCTTGGCAGTGATCAAATTTATGCTGGGAAAGGTGCTTACAAGCAGAGCCCTGATAACTGATGGTGAGTCTGAAGATGATCCTAGTCCGTTTGTAGAGTCTCCCAGTGAATGCTGTAAACACAAAGGGTACTAGTGACCCCCTGAATGAGGGCAACTGTGGAGGGCGATGAGATAAAAAGGCCGGTGGGGAATGGGAAAAAAAGCCCCAGAACACTCTTGCATAACATCAGCTATGCAAGTACATCTAGCTGAAGTCAGCATCTTGCATAGTACATCAGCTGAAGTCAGTATGTCTGATGGAAGTCAAACAGGTAAAGGGCAGATAGTAAGCAATAATAGAGCAAGAGCTAGAGATAGAGTACATAACAAATTAGGTTTATATTTGATATAGAGATTAGATAGATTAGATTTGACAGAGATTAGACTACAGAGGAAGGATAAGGCACCAACTTACACAGCTTTGGTTCAGTCATACCTATCCTTATTGCCTGCGTTCAGTAAACAGATTCATCCCAACAGTTAAAAGGTACTGAATCTGTGGCAGAAAATGCCTCCTTGCCTTGAGCAGGAGTCACAGACAGCATTTGTACGTAGCCGCTCTAGGTGTAATTTGCCATCGTAGCGCTTTTCCTTTCACTCTCTCGGTGGAGCTGGTATAGTATCGCATGTGTAAAGCAAAGCCTTTGCCTGCCTGTTGTCGCACACTCCTCTGGCCCTGCTATAGATTGCTGCGGGGTGAATCTCCCCCACGGTGTCCTTAGAAGCCCTTGCTCCTACTACTCTGTTGGTTCAGGTGTGTAGAAGCAATTATTGTTGTTTTTTTAAGGTATATTTAAAGATATGTTCAGATATTCTTTTTATTGGCAAGGCCAAAGCTTGTAACTCTTCAGAGAGCCACAGGGATCTACTCTGCGAACAAGTGAATCCACAGTCGTGGCTGAGATCTCACAGAGGCCTACAAATCGCTGCCAGATTTTATCTGCAAGCACAGGACAGTTTGAAGTGCACTGTACACGTACACAGTAGGATGTTAATGATTTGTCAATTATGGTACATAAATTATTTTGCTCCACTAACGATTTCACTTTAAGGAAACTCGATTTTCAGCTTACTCTAGGGATATGTGTAATTGCTTTAAGTACTTTAAACCTAGCTAAAATTTTTTTGGTGAGGTGTGATAACACAGAAAGCTTCCTGAGTATTTATATTTTAGATACAAAATTAAGTGGAAAAAGAATCTAAAGCAGCAGTGCGGGGGGTATGACTAGCTACTGGCTCCCTGCATTTGTGACTCTCTCCCAACAGACCATGTTGTTCAATGATCTTAGTCTTTACTCTGGACTCTGCCATCTTAGACATTTTGAATCAAGAAATCTATCTACAAAAAGGATTCTGGAAAGGGTCCTGGGAACTGCAGACCAGTGAGTCTGACTTCCTTCGCTGTCAGAGTGTAAGTGGGATATGCCGACCATTTCAGAATAATTTCTAGGCAGACAACTCATTAACCATCCCTTTAAAAAAACGTATCTTGTTTTTTAAACATCAGCTTCTTCAGACAAAATATTAGCTGAAAAATTCCTGAATAGCTCTAGCTGAATTAGTCTCCTGCATGACACAGAAATCTCTTCCCCCTATAATTACATCCTTGTGCTAATTATATTGCTTCTGATCTGGAGCTGGCTCATCCTTTGATTAAAAGAATTAGGGAATAAAGTATACAATTACCTCGGGCTGTTTTTTTTCCCTCTCTCTATTTTCTCACTTTTAGAACTATTTTAGAAATGTAGGAGGCTGATATTACCAGGTGTAGTTAAATAACTTCTTTCCCAAGATATATTTACATGCCTACTTAGTTTATTAACAATCAGGAGGAGACAATTTGATTCAGCAGCAGCTGAGACATGGATTTAGCACTCCCTTGCATATATATCTGTTTTTAGTCATTTTCTGTTTCCTACTAATTTACCTCCTGCTATCAGTGGCTGTAGACCAACAAGCTGTTTTGAGTAACAAGAACACACAATTTTCTTCCTGCAAAATAGTTTTATTTTCAAAACAGCAAATTCTCTCTCCTACATGCCAACCCTATTAAGGATAATTTTTTAGAATAATTTTGCTTTCCAGTAGGGCTTGCCAACAGTGCTCTTTAAAGCCTAAATTTATTAATCCTCACAAAGCAAAATGTTGTTGATACAGTTTGTGTACAGCAAAAGCTCATGGCCTTTTGAATGATAAAAACAGCTATTTCCTATCTTGAATTACGTAACATCTCAGAGGACGCTTATGTAATGTCAACCAGCTTTTCTGTAGGTTTTAGATACCTGTATCTCCTTCCTAGGCTTAGCCACCTGTTTTTTCCTGGCCTAGCCTTATGCACAGAATGCGGTCTCTAGATTAATGCCTTCAGCCAGTATATGATTTCCTGCCGCATCAGCAAGGAGAGATTTGACTGAATGACCATCAGGAAGAGAAAACAGTTCCCTTTATGAGTTGCTTTTGGGTCGCTTGGAACCATCAGCCAGTAATGGCAAGAAAATACATTTCTTTCCTTGTGCATATCATGCTTATGTATTCTGACTTTGACTGGAGCATATTTACATGGGAAGTAACACTGGTAGGAGATTTAAATTTATCTTTAATATATTCTCTGGCTGCATAATATAAGCACTATAAGTTACATTACTAGGAAGAAGAAAAAAAAAAAAAAGACCAGGAGCTTATTCTTCCAGAATAAGAGTGGTCACAGCGTGCTTTGTGTCTCCACTGGTTTAACTGTGCTGGTATAATTAATCCAATATTCAAGCACTTACAGGCAAAGCCTTATGGGCAAAGCCTATTTCCACTCTGTAGTTTGTACAATGGAGCTTTGATCCCGGTTGTAGGATGTGCTACCGCTGTACCAGAACAACTCCTCTTTGTAGGGCAGGAAGCCTGAAGCCTTTGTATCCCCCATGTTGCCACGGGCTTGCTAAGTACCACGTGCTCTTCTGTGCCAGGGTTTCCTTTGCATTTAAACACCTACTGACAGGAATCTGGAGAATCTTAAAGAACAATTACCATTTTAAAAAGGGAATCGGAGGTGGGAACAAGCAGAAACACAAGCAAAAAACCGCTGGACCTCTGTGAGTAAGCTTCCTTGAGTCAAGGTGTTCCCCCCAGAAGAATAAATAATGTAAGAATAAGGAATAATAAATAATATAAGAATAAACAATATAAGAATAAGAATAAACTTTTCTGGCTGTTTACTGCCTTTGGCACAGCAGGACAGTGGGAAGTCGGGTAGGTTCTTGTCCGATGTCTTTCCTGTTACCCAGTTTCTTCGTGCTCTGACTGAAGGGTCCGAATTGTCTCTGCTGGTGCATGAGGAAGAAAACAAAAAGGCTAGCTTACAAAAAACTCATTCTGTCCAGCTGCTTACCTGTAAACTCAGTGGTTGGCTGACGTGGGACACCTCAGGGCCATTTCTAAAAGCACCAGCACTGGCCTAAAAAAAGGCTTTGTTCACTGGCCGCTTTGGGGTGCTCAGGAAAGCTCTGTCACGCTGCAGCTGTGCTAGTTTCAGCAGCATCTGTAAGTGCCTGTCGCAGACTGTCAGCTGGCAGCACGCGGACTGTAGCAACGCAAGAAGATGGCTCCTGCAACCACGACCATGTGTATGGCTGACAAGGGACAAGCAGGCAAGGCAAACGAGTGGGAGAACAAGAAACCAGTGGGCTGTTGCTGATTGCTGTGAAAGGCGGTTCTTAGTCAGCATCAAATTTTTGTCGGCAGCAAAGTCAAGGAGAGTTTTATGGAGGTAATTTGATGAATGTTGAGTGTTTGAAGAATTTTTAGGCTGTTTGCGGGCAGCTTCTTGCCTGCATCAAGAGCAGCTTGGGATAGAACAGGGACATGTGGAAAAAGTTAGCAAGCAGGTAAGGAAGGGGAGACATCACTGACAGGCAGGATCGGCCCCAGCGCCAGCATTTTGGTCAGTAGCAAAAGGCACAGGTTTGGCAAGCCTTCAGACAAGAGGTTGGTATTGATCCGGAGGAGAAGAGGAGTCAGCTTGTGTGATCGAAATGGGGAGCTAGGAACAATCAATAGCAGAAGGTTAAAACTGTATTTGTTGAGACCAGGGAGATGAGGACACTACTGTAGCCATGAACAAAATAACGATGGCTCGTACAAGTATTTCGGCTATATGGCGGCCTAGGAGAGGTCAAATTTTAGCTACGTCATTCAGAAAGACTTAACAAGGTTTAGGTAAAGACTGGGTGTGAGACCTCTTGGTAGAGGAGACGTTCAGGAGTAAGTGTCGTGTATGTGGTTGTTGGCAATCAAAAACAAAAATCCAAGAGGTGACGGAAAAAAAGACATTAATTATGCAGAAAGCTCTGGGAGGATTTTGCAGGGACAGTCTTGGAGAGGAAGGAGGGGGGAAAGAGGGATTTAAAAGAGCGTTTATAAAACTTGTGAACAATAGATATGAAGTTCCGGTGATGTGCCTAAGGAATAAATGGAAAATAATAGTCCCAGCAATATCACATATGTCTCTCACTAACACATTCAGCAGTATATGCAGCGCTAAGCTATAGTGCCAAATACATATAAATAAATATGTGAAGGGGGTGGGGTGGGGCAAACCTTCAAGAGAAGATCACCAAAAAGTTACTGTGCAAAAATGTCGTTTTCCTTTTCTTGAGGTCCTTGAGTGTACTGGAGTCTGCTCCTTTTCAGAGAAAATGAGAGACTTTGGGTACCTTTATGATGAGGATGATGACCTAAGTCATCTTTTAAGTGCTAATCAGGGATGTTTGCAAGTACTGAAATAATACCTCTATTATGAAGAGGATGTTTGGAAAACAGCTGGGCTACATCAGCCCCACCCAGGGCTGTAGCCAACCAGACACTATTACTATTATACAGCTCAAAGATATTTTGTTCATGATAATCTAGAGGGAGGACAAGTGCTTGGCTGTCAGAGTCAGCGGGTCCAGTGTTTTGAAGGAATGTTGCTGTTGGGAAACACGAGCATTGAGAAACAGAAGCCATGCGAAACCTTTGCAGCCATCAGCAGCTAGCAGTAGGATTTGGAACTAAACAGAGAATGGAAAAATTGGGATCGACCAGATCAGGGCACACAGTTGAGGGGAATGAGTATAAACTTACTCACATCAGAAATGACAAGCGAGAGAGGTCTTTCTTACAGAACACAGGTCAGACGCCATATAGTTTGATTTGTTCAGTGAAGCATTGCACGGAGCTGTGGCTGACCGCATGTGAAGGAATTGCACTGCCTCCTGCTCAGCGCAGTCTAATGTCACATAGGCTCCCCAGTGTAAGGTCGCATAAAGATTTCGTGCCCTCTCTGGTGGCAGTGGTATAGTCATGGCTTTTCTCCCTAAAGATTACCTCTTCATAGGTGGGATGATTAAAGCAAATTCCTTGAGATTTGGTTCTTCCTTTCATTTTTTTTTCCCTTCTAGGTTTCAACTCTCTTGTAGGTGGAATAATGGGATTTTCCATCCTGCTCAGTGCAGAAGTTTTTAAACACAATTCTTCTGTCTGGTATCTGGATGGCAGTATAGGAGTTTTAATTGGACTTACAATATTTGCCTATGGAATCAAGTGAGTATTTTCTCATTTTTTTCCTCTGCTGGCAAACCACAAACATGTTTGTGCATTTCATTCAGGAGCAAGAGTGTTACTTGTCTCGTTTGTTAATGGGATTGGTGCAACTTTCAACTGGAAGGCATCCATCTGTACATTAATACCACGTTCACGCTGAATACTCACACGCTGTTGGAAGCTTACTACTGCACCAAGGTCTTACAGCTCATTAGTTACTGACAACAATGTGTACTTAAGCCTGTTTAAGAATCCCATAGATTTTTTTGCACTATCAAAAGAGATGACAAGCAGCTGTTTTCAATGATAGGGAAATGGTGAGAAATTATTGGATCTTTTGGAACAAAAAACAAGAGAACAATAGTTCATTAGTAGAAGCAGAACATTACAGTAGAATAGAGATCTTTCCTGTAGCTTTACCGTATTTGTTTTTATCATATCTTCTGCTAGTAGATATTTTCAAAATATGCAGCAGATGGGCTGTTATTTTAATGTGATAAGCCATAGCTCTGAAAGCCTTATGAAGTTCCAAAAAAATCAGTTTTTGGATTGTATTAGACTAGCTGCCAATATTGAAACACAGTTTGTGGAAAAGGATAAAAGACTGTCTGTATCACCTCAGTGTGAAAGAAGCCAGAACTTAAAAAGGAATTGGAATCATTTTTAGGAGACTTTTGTATACCTGAATTTGGAAACATGCTAAGAACAGGTAAAAGATTTTTGGCTTTGAAATGTTTGAAAAGTGACTACAAGTCTTGCAGAGAATCACTCCATGCTGGTTTTATGTCACATTTTTAAGCACTCTTTTCCACAGAAACTGTACGTACCTAAGTTTTAACAACTTGACAGTGAATTCTCCCCTAACCTTACCATATGGCACCTTCTGGGCTGAAGGTTAGTCAGCTGTATGTCAAATAATATTGTTCCTACTGAATGTTAAGGTAGTAGTAAGATGACTTCTTAATTCATGACATCAGGAACAGAAAAAAATCGAATGAATCTCTGCCATGCACTTCATTGCTGCCAAGATTTCACTCAGCTGCCTGGGTCTTCATTTTGTCCCTCTTTCTGCCATAAGGAAACAAAGGGAGAGATGTAGCAGCCTATTTAATTGGAATCATGAATACTGAGAACTAGACCTTGGCCAATGTGCAGTAGGTTATCATCTGGCAGCTTTGGGTTATTTATTTATTTTTTTTTTAAGCTTACAATTCCCTTTGGAATTTGGAAAATTAAATTAACATTTTAATAGGGAAAACCACTCTTGCAAAATCATTATAATCACTATTTCCATTGCAAAACTAGCTATTCTGGAAAACCGTAGCAGTGAATCAGTACAAAAGTAATTATTTACATATACCAAGCAGCGTCAGAAACTTTTTGTACAGCGTCTGAAACTCATGCTCCGTACATACCATCGTTCTGTTGTGCTGTTCAGGACAGCCAGATAGCAGGCTCAGCCATTGTGTCACCAAAGCACAACCATTGTACTTTAGCGGGGAAGATGCTAAGCTGCTCGGAAATCTTTCTACAGTCTTCACAAAAACGAAGGATAAAACCAACTTCTGTTTTGGCAACTGACCTGATTTTACAGTTGGTGAAAGTATTGCAATTCTCCTCTACTACTGGATGCCTTTTTAAAGCAGCCTTGTGTGAAGCAGGTTGCCTAGACGTTCCTTTTCCACAAAATCCCTACAGGTCTTCTCCAACCAAAAGTGACTCTTGCTGTGCATAGCAATTCTTCAGCTGCAAGCTGTGCTTCAAAGCTTTCTAAAGGAGACACCGTCTCTGCAGAATTTGTTTTAGACTTTGTTTTGGACAGAATTAGTTGTGGGTTGAAATTAATTTTGATCAGGAGAAAACAAGATGCTAAGGCTGTTACTGCATATGAGTTCAAACAGCCCAATTTTACAGCTTTCTTTTGCACCTCTGCCTAAACGCTCTTTTGCTTTCCTCTGCAGGCTGCTTATTGATATGATACCCCGTGTAAGGCAAACACGCCATTATGAAATGTTTGAGTGAAGATCATGGCCTCGTCCCCGAAAGGACTGTAAAACTACAGCATCATACGTTTTGGCAAGTGGTGCCAATGGTATTTTACTAAATATGCAGTTTGTTTCCCGTGGTTTGTTTTTGTTAGTTTGTTTTAATGGGAGATCTCTCTGTAAAACTGGCAGATGTGCACACTGCTTGCAATTCAGCAAAACAGCAGCATTTTTTTTCCGAGTATGCTATTGATTCCTGTGACAATAGAAAACATGCAGTTCGCAGTTTTAAGCCAGCAGCCATGTTTTATGCTCCAGAGTGAAAGTGTTCTTAATGATGTGATTAAGTGTATGGGTAAAGAAGTGTGAGTATCAGATCTCTTTTTTTCCGGCTATATTTTTTTAAACATATGCTGTAACAGAAGTACGGTCCTTGCTAATCTCTTTGGCTAACAGAGTATCCTGTAGAGTATGGACACCAAAAGCGGTGTTGCTTAAAGCACGGAAGTAGCCACTTCTCTCCCCTATTTGAACTGACAGAGCGGTTACAAACCTTTCTGGGATCAGAGAGATACTTCATTTAAATCCAAAATTAACTGAAACTATACCTCTTCAATCTAAATCCTATTTTTTCCTTCTAAGACACTGTTTGTTGCTTTGCATGGACCAAACAAGCACGCACACGGTACTACTGTACAGACCAAAGCCAAAAAGACGTGCAAGGAAGAGGACCGGCTTGAGAAATGAGATTCTCATCTTCTGTTATATTATACACAGATGTATCAGCGTGCGTGACTTTGTGGTTGCTCTGTAGTCTGATGATGGCACAGCAGTGGTTCAACCTGGTGGTGAGATATAGATCTATTTATTAGATTTAGATTGTTCTGTAAAATGTTGTTCACCTTCCATCACACATCTTATGTATTACTTAGTAGCAGGTTAAATTATCAAAGAATCATGATGTATAATCAATAAAACTGGTATCTATTTTATACAGTACCTGTAAGTAACATTTTAAATCTATTTCCAGAATGTATCATAGAACAAAGTCTTCCTGTCTAGCAGCCTATTAAACTAGATTCTCTGGCCATTGCCATTCCCTCTGTATTTTATATATTCCAGGTTGGCTTTCACAACATAGAGCCAGTGTTGTTGCTTCTGTTTATCACGAGCGGATGAAAAATAGCAGACAGTCGATTGTAGAGTTTGAAATATTACCATGGTAAGTAGCCTCGTAGCTAGAAATCCCCGTTTCTCTCTATACTGCAGTAGATGACAAACTAGAGAATATGTACAATCAGAATGTGCAGAGACTGATGTAAAGCGAGGGCACTAATTGTCTACTGATGTTTTTTGTGTTATCTAAAATCGTGTTTCCCATCACATGTCGCTTAACAGTTGCTCATCCAGATCCTCAATGTCATTATTAAAAGCAAGCTCCAAATGAAGCATGTCGGAAGAGACTACCTGGAGGTTTCACTGACAGTGCCTATGAGGTGCACAATGCTTGGCAAGGTTTTGCTCGCTTCCTCTTGAAAGTGAAAAATGAAATTCACTGAAAAATGAATTTTATTCTGCTGCTATAGTTAGTTTACACATATTTTAGCTCAGTTAAGTTTGCATAAACTTGTTAAACTTTATAACTCGTTACAACGTCATAATACTATTACTGGCAGTACTCTGATGCTGCTTATCCCTTGCTGTCACTAGATAGTGTGATCATCATGGCTAAGATGAAAAGAAGCACAACACTTGACAAGATGAAGGCGGTACCTTATAATGTAATGAGTTCAGGAAAGACTCCAGAAAGGCTGTAAAGTGGTCACTGTACTCATCACAGGCAGACTTCCAGCTAAAATATAAAATGAAAACACCATCCCCAAAACCTTTCTTCAGTGCCCAAGTTCCTAATTTGTTACACTTTTGCATAGTCCTGGTATTTTCCCATTATGCTGCTGCTTTAACTCATAGTTCCATAAAGCGATCTGTGGAATAGATATTTCCCTGCTGATTGACTAGCTCTTGTCAAGCACCTTAAGCATCAGTATTTTGTAGTGAATAGAAACAGAGACTGAAAATAGCTATATTCTGCATTTCATTTTGTTATTTTTATTAGTACTGTTTATCCTTTTCTGCCTCTCCAGGGGCTTTATTATTTCTCCAATTCCCATTGCTAAGCCTAAGAAAGAACACCACTTGGGAACAACTGAAAGTGCTGCTCCTCTTGGCCAGCAACTCCAGCAACCTGTTTCTAGCAGTGGCTGATGCCAACTGCTTCCCAAGAGACGTGAGAAGGTAACATTGGTTGTGGCAAGCGACTTAACGCCTGATGTAACCTTCACAATACAGAAGTCATAGACCGTTGAAAATATATAGGCTATTCAAACTAATGTCCAGCTCAAATGTCAAATAATTCTGTTAATTAGACCTTGTTACTGCTTAGCATAAGTAGGAGCGTAGGGCTACACAGATGTTCACGTGCATAAAGCAAAGTTAAAAATTGACTGAATAAAGTTTCACACTTTTCTTTTCTTTTGGCACTCTAGAATGCGCTTTTTAATGGGTGTTTGTAAATACAGATGAGCTGTGTAACCTGGAAAAAGGAGGGGTGCTTTAAACAAGTCAATCACACTTTTCTTATCAATCAGATCGATCTATACTAAGTCCAGAAGCTTTTCACTTGCCACAGGTGCTTCAAAGCACTTCTGATAGTAGCAGGTAAATGCAAGAAAATAACTGACACACTTATGCTACCTAAAAGGAAAAAGACCAGGAAATGCTAGTCAGAAATGAGCGCAATACCAACTAACTTCAGGGAGCCTTACTATGGCACGTTACAGTAACTAACTGCTCAGCCAGTATACTGAGAGGCAAAGCCCCTAGACAAGCAGTTCCTCAGACATGGGCAAATGCAGTTCTAGGTGTACGTATGTCTGTACGTACCACCCCCCCCCCCCCCAAAACCCCCCAGGAATGCAGCGCCCAGTGTGCCCTCACCCCTAATAATACCATTTCAATTAGTGCAGTCCCAGCTGCGTGGGACAAAGCATGCACATTTCTGGCATCTTTTTTTTTTTGGTTTTTTTTTGTTTGTTTTGGCAGGCCAGCCTGTGGAAGGGCTAAGTCACTGGCTGAGTACTAACCTTTACTAATACACAGAGCAGGAGTGTTTGTTCCCATTTTGGCAATATTTTTTTTCCTAGACAGTCAAATTTCAACTCAAGAAATGTCTTCACGACCCGTTTTCTTTTGAAGTTTCTGAGGCTGGTGTATTAAACAGGCAGTCACGAGTGCAGCAGGCTGCAGCTGCACCGACAGAGGTAAGGAAGCACTGAAGCCATTGACCAGAGAGTATCCTTGGGGCGCACAGCTTTGTGTAGCTGCCCCATCTCCAGCTCATCTCCAGCAGCACAAAAAGTGTTTTGTTCTGCTCACAGCACCTTTTAGGTCTTAACATTAGTCTTGAACCCGTGCTGCAAGTCTTTTTTGTGTTACACCCACTGCCACCAAGTGGTGCTGTGACAAAACACATTATTGAGCATGTTGCTGGGTTTATTGAGTAGCAGTAACTAGGCAGGAGTAGCGCACACAAACACATTCCTGCGGCCTGGCCCGCGGGGCTAGGCGCTTACGCAACGGGCGAGCGAGGGACATGTCCCACCCCCGTTTGGGAGCTGGCTGTTTTCTTTTTCCTTTCAGCCGCAAGCTGAAAGCTTCAGTGTTTGAGGGAGCGCTTAACAGTTCTTGAATTTCACCCATGTGGTGCTACCGCTTACCGGCTGTGGTCAGCAGAGGTGCGCCTCTGGCAGCCTGCAGGCCATGCGCTGCAAGAAGAGCATGCCTACAGCTGTGTGCGAGCTCAGACGTGGGCACCAACCAAGGCAATCATCAACTGCAGGAACACTGAAAGTATAGTCTGTACAAAGCCTTGCACGAGGGCTGCTACTTTTCTGAATTTGTAGCGCAGGTAACTAGAAAAACATCCCATTTTGTCAGCCAATACCATTGTCACCACCACCAGTGTTTGTCTGAACTCACCCCTTTAAAGGCAGAGGCCTTACAGGAGTGTCACCCTTCACCTCACCGCACAGCAAGGAACAGAGTAAAGGTGATGCTGGTCTAAATTGCTCAAGGGCCAAGAAATGCCCACCTTCCCTTTACAGGGCCTGATCTGTACGGACAGCAGTCAGACTCGAAGTCTGCAGCGTGGCTGAGGGCCAGTCACACTGATTCAGCCCATCTGTAGGGTGAGGCCAGCGCTAAGAGGGGTGTTGAAGTGACTTAGTTCTGCTTTTGCTTCAGATATGCTGCACTGATTACTTACAGGGCCAGCACCAGTTATTACTTGCTGAAAGCCCAAGGGCTCATACTGTGCTACGTTTTCTTCAGAGATGGCATTGCTGTTGCAGCATTTGTCTACTACTGTTTGCTTTGAAAGTTTCCTTGTCACAGCCCTGCATGAGGCAGAGGCCTTCAGCTAGCCAGCACGTACGTCTCTGAGGACCTGCAGCAAGTCTGGCGATGCTAGACCCCTAGGAAGTCAAGGGTCCGCAAGACAAAGCAGGACATACATACACATGAGACTTTCAATCTGGAGTCTATTCAGTGCAAACAGTATCTGATTTTTTTTGGCAATAAAGATTTACTAATGGGATTTAAGTGCAATGCCCATAATCAGTAAAATCATAAAATACCTGAGTCCAGAGGCATACATCATCCTAAACAGGCATCATCAGGTAGTAAAGTGGGATGCTCCATCTGTTAACCCAGTGAAGAGGAAGCCGTCAGTTTGAGATGAGGCTTGTGAGAGCAGCATGAAGTAGTTACAACAACAGAGGTATCCATCTGTGGACTTCCTACCTGATGGAGTTAGACTGAAGCCAGTCTATGTGTGTGAGTTGAAGTATTTAGTAGTTCAACTCCCCCCCATGATTTTCTTTCCAATACAGCTGCATGGTGTGCGTATTTTTTGTTCAGTTCCTGTTCATTTTTTTTCCATTATGTAGACTGCAGCACAGCCCACATGTGACTTCAGCTGCTCACCATTTCACAAAACTCTCCTTATGATGTCAAAGCTTAACAATAGTTGGGGGGAGGGGAGGTGAAACTAGAAAGAAAACAAACATTTCCAAAACTAACCAGAACAAGGAACTGAATAAGCAGTGTCCTCTAGTAATTCATTCTGATGCTAGAAAACGCTCCAGAATTCTGATAGGTTGAATGGCAACACTGAACCAACCAGTTTTTCACCCATTTCACCCATGGGTGAAGCATGCCACAGAAAGGTCCATGAAAGGAGTGACTGGTGAGGAATATTCACAGTCTTTGCTTCACTGAAATGGTAATAAAAGGCTCTCTGAGAAGCACAGGCAGAAGTCAGCAGCAGAAAACCCCTCATGTGTAGCCATGATGAACTGAACTCTCTAATTCTAGCTAGTGAATAGATGGTGCAGCTGGATATCCAAAAGCAAATGACAGTCCCTCACCTGACTTGCAGGCCTTTTACCTTCCTACTTCAGTCTGACGTTTTTATTTATGCTGTTGTTTATTAGTGTTGTCTGCCATTAAGCAGAATGGAAAAGACGACTCTCAAATCAGTGTTTACTGATTTCAGTAATATTCTCATTTTCCATTACTCACTCATGTACAACCAAATTAAAAACAAAAAAGAAAGCATGTATGAACTTGGAAAAAGGTGTTAGTTGTTACAAAATTAGTAGTTGCTTCTCTCCCATGCAGAGAGAGAAAGGACACAGCAAATATGTTACAGATGGACATTTTTATAACAGATAGAAAAGGGTCTTTTTTAAAAACTACTCATTTTAATACACAATAATGCTGCCAAGTAGATGGTATTGTTGCTTTTGGACACCTCCACCAAACCTGCCAACGTTTATAGCGGAAGCTGACAACGAAGGGCCTCTTCCTTAACCTCAACCGGGATGACAAAAACCAAGATGGACAGAAATAGCCTTTCAGCAGAATGGGTGCCAAAGCAATAACCTGCAAGTTTAGTATAGGAAATTTCACTTTGTAGGCACTTATATTGTATATGGTTTTTAGATAAACCTGCTTAAAACCTCCAAGGTGA